TCATAATCAATGCTTCTATTTGAGTATATCTTCTTGATATACAAAACTTGCTTTATAATTTTTTATGGATCCCTCAATATTTATTTACACACTAGGTTTTTGTTTTGATAAGAACAATCAATTCCCAAATTTGATTTTATTTGTGGTTTCACACCATATCATGTGTTTTCCATAACATCTACAAAGACAGTAGGATCATATAAAAAAACAATAAAATCAACATATGGGATTGCTTATTTAAATGTAATAGTCCATTAATCTCAATGAAGGGAACCCTTTTCTTTGAAGAGGTAAAGTAATTAGGCTCAAAAGTGTAAGGTTAAGTATTTTCTGTTGTGGTTTAAAAAACGACGTGGAAGTGGAATCAGAATCACTTTGGCCACTGGTTTACAAATCAGTGGTTTGACCGTTCAATGACTGGCCACTGCATTGCCTACACGCCCCCGAAACGATACGTACGAAATTTCGAACCTTTGTGTAACCCACTTTGGTGCATCAAGACTGACCGTTAAAGAAAACATTCGACTCCACTGCAGATACAATCTTCGGCGTTTGTGGCTACTATTCACTGAGTTGACATTGCACRGTGGCTTTTGAACATGGCAGGCTTTTAAGACCAAGAGCCCACCTTAATAGTGTAATTTTTAAGGGTGAAACCGTGAAACAACTTGGTATCGGTACGGAACGAAGATGAAAAGAATAATTTGCTGAACAGGCAATGTTTTTTAACTACCACACAGTTTCATCTAACAAGTAATCCTCAAACCATTCTCCCATAACTAGTACAACTATAGCCTAAGAGCTCGTCCCCGGATTGGGGGGAAAAAGGAACAGGGAAACAGTGTTCAGATTGCAGGTTTGCGAAGCTCAGTTGCACCATGAGCAAAGTGACATCGGTCCCCAAATGTGCAGGAGCCCTTTGAAAAGTTCTCGCACAGCTTCGTCTTATAGTTGCTTGGTGGCACAGCAGGTGCCGCTGGTGCGGCTTGGGCCTTCACTTGGGCGGCGGCTGCTACCATTGAACCAACGTTCACAATCAGCTCACGGACCATTGCGCTGGCTTGCTTGATCTGATCAAAGGTACCCTCGAGCTCGATGTTTCTCAGGTTAGGATCTGATTCGTGCTCCCTTATGGAGAGCTTGGCGCCTGTCAGGCGACATATCTGCTTTGAGTTCACACCTCCTTTTCCGATGATTGCACCAGCAAGGGAAGCATCAACACTAATCTTAGCAGTTGCAGAGGCACCGAAGCTCGCTGCAGCGGTGATGCCCGGGGGTGGGGGCTCAAGTCGGCCAGCTAACCTGCCTGACATCAGTCCCATGATGCGGGGATCTTCTTGGGATGGGGCATTGGCATTGGGCTTGCCAAGCTCCCGCTCGCTATGGGCAAAATGGCATTTATCCCCAAATTTGCATCCTTCAGCTGTGTTGAATTTGTTACACATGCGAGTCTTCACAGTTGAGGGAGAAACACCATCAGGAACATGTGGTGGGGGCACTGGATTTCTTGAGGACGGAATAGCTGGGTTGCCCAAGTTCGTCATTTGAGCCACCGTGTTTATTCCACCAGGAACATAATGTAGGAAGTGGCAACCCTCGCCAAATGGGCATCCCGCAGTGCTGCAGGAGACATTAGAAGTGAAACAACGAATTAGAGCGCAAAAATTGTTGAAGAGAGAGAGTGAGTGCAACAGTTCCAAGAATGCTATAAAAGTTTATAGACAACTTAATTTCTAAAATAGAGACATGTTATCTGGACTCTTTTTTTATTAGTAAGAGATCAGGAGGATTATGCAATTAAAGTCATATAAGCCTTCTTACGAACTGAGACACAAACACCTAACAAGTAATTTAATATTCAATTCTACAGTGCAACAGCCAATTGGTAGGGCCAAACCGGCATGTCTAATGCTAAATGCACATAAATAATAACCACAACAAATAAACAAATAAAAAACAAAAAGAACTACACAAGCAGAAAAAAGGCGATCAGACACACAGCACAAAAATAGTACATACACAAGATACACGATAGCGTGTACTAACAGATGCATGCAGTCGAGCAAAAAATTCGTAAACACCATCACTATGTGCCAAATGCACAATCAGGATCCCTTTTCTCTACAAACTACATGAGCATTGTTCCAGCAGAGAAAACATCCCAAAATATGCACTTGGTTGAAACAACTTAATACGTACAGACAAGTTTATGTCAGCAGGGCAACCATATGAAGATCTTAAACAAAGAGGGGCTGGTGATGCTCTGAAACAGCGTTCTAAGACAGGCCAGACCGGATGGTTGACTGATTACCCAGTGACTTTTTCAGGTCCCAGTTAAATAACATCTTTTACAGTTTGAACAGGCTAACTGTCATGCTCCAAATCTGATTGAGTCTTACAACATTGCTCTTAAAATACATGTCAAAGGGCAACTATTTGTTCTCATGATTAAATATAAATAACTCCACGTGGCCAACTATCTCAATATTGTCCAACTAGTGAGACAGTCAATGTCACAATTCTTTATGGAGAAAGGAGTTACAATTGACACCAAACCATTTATACCTGGCTAAATACTATTCACCATTAATAAAAATACAGGTGTGATTATTAAAACATCACATTTCTTTATTTAACTTCAATCAAGTTTACTCCATTTCTTTGGAGATAAGAGAAATAAGAATAGGTCGCAAAGCAACTGGAACCTGGTTCCACTTCATACATTCAGCCAAATTACCCCAAGACCAAGACATTGGCCARTTCTCTTATATTACTTTTGCATTTTCATTTTGATGCTTTTATGTTCGTGTATTTTTTTTAAATTACGGTTTCCATTTTTAATTAATATACTAATTTTAATATTTTATTGATTTATTTTGAATTTTTACCTTCTTTTGCATCTTTGAATTTTTTTCAGATTTTTTTTGAAAATTTTGTGTCTCGCTTCAAAAAGGCATGCACCTCACCTTGTGCCTAGGGCACAAAATGCCCTTGTGCTTTTAAAAGACTGACATAGCTATTATCTGTAATACCTGGATAGTGGATACATGTTCAGTGGTGCCAACACATGTCCAGCTGTGTCCTTGTCATRTCTAGATTATATGGCACATTACTATTTTAAGTATTTATGTCTAAAATAAATGACTTCTATCTACCATTATCTGCAAACTATGCAAGTCCATATTCTGTTTAACCACTGAGAAAATGCAACTGTATAGAGATTCAAAAGAATCAAACTTGAAGTTCCAACCTGAGTACTATACCTGATACACATTTTTTTCCTACACTAAACAGACAGTACACAACTGGCATTACATTATACATGTGTAACAAACCATACACATTAGAGTAACCGTGTATTACAGAAGTCCTGGACAACTAACACACAAATTGCCTTAGTGAAGTGCACAGAATGGTGTAACAGATCCAGGGTCATCAAACCTAGGTAACAAAGATACTACCACCTTACAGGGAATATAACATAAGCAACAGCTATGAGATTGTGTAGATTACATGGATTAAATTAGTGGTGCAAGTCAGATCAGTACAGGTTAGGTTGAGGTCAACCCTAACCAAACCTTAGCAGTTGAACCCCCAACCCTAAACTTAACCCATCCTGAAGCTGGGATCAGATTGACCCGACTTCAAATGATCTTGTTTCCTAAAGACTCGAGGATTGAGGGCAATTCAGTTTTAGCATTATTATATGTAAAAGGGCAAAGTTATTAGGCTTTTGAAAAAATTTCCCATTAAACTTAAAATTGTTGATGCACAAAATATACAAATACCTTTACGAATACATGTTTGTGTAACATTTATACTAAGTCAGGTTTGGGTTGAGATGGGTTGGCCAAAGCCTCAACCCTTACCCACCCCAAAGTTTAGTTGGGTTCATACCTTTCAACCCTAACCCTAAATCGAACTTCAACCCTACCCAACCCAATATGCATACCTATTCTCAAATGCATATTACAATGCAAAACTGGAAAGGCAAACTTTTTTTTGACAAGTATTTTGGGAAAGGTAAGTTTTGAACAAGTTGCAAAACTGGAAAAACACTGCAATATATCAAAGCTATGACAATGAGACATCTCCCCTTAGTTAAGCTAAAGGATCACCGGTTCAACTTGCTGTTTCAGTTAATAAATGCAGGCCAAATCAAATCTCAGAAAAGCATGGGGCTGGGGTTTAAAATAACTTCCATAGTCATGACATGCACAGAACAAGCATAAACATACTGATTTCAACAGTGCTGAGAGAAGTTTCACAGTATAGTTAAACTATGAGATGATGATTCTTCTACAGAAAGAAGGTGAGAAGGCACACAAAATTGCTCCCAGTAGATCCTTCTAATTAAAGATTAGTTCTAATTGAAAATAAACTCCCACATTAGTAATTTGTAAGCAAAAGAAGGATAAAGTCAAGAAATTTCTTTGCTGTCAAGATAAAGTCAAAGGCCCTATCTTGACTATTGGGGAGTGTGCCGGAGAAGTAGCTTCACCTCAGTCTAGTCTCAAGGCTGAAACAATGAAGCAGTTTGAGGTGCGACCGTGTTCCAAAGATGGCTCCTCTAATCCAACCTTGTTTTAGGAGTAATGAGTGGATCAGGCCCTTGATTTTGGTAAGTTTTTAGGCATGTCTTTTGCAGAGAAGCAAGAGGTCCAAGTTCGTGATTGGTTCAAATCCAACATTATGGCCCATCCACCAGGTTCATTTTGCAGCTCGGGATCAGACTCAAAATTCGGGTAGCACTTCATCTGATCACTCCTTCACTAATATAGATTTTCTGCCAGGTTGTCGATGGTCCAAAAAGCTTTTGGATTTCTTTGATGATGTGATGGTTCAGAAACCTAGACGTAGAGGTCTTCACAGTACTAGAGGCAGTAATAGAAGAGGTAAAGGATAGATTGCTCGATAGGCCTTTTGTAGCAATATTTTGAATGAAGGTGTGCTTTGTACTTTCAACTAGTCTAGTAGTGTGCTCTGATGTGTCTGTATGCAGATTGTGGCTGCTTCAGTGGTCTCCTATTTTAAGGTCCTTGTGTTGTTTTGTTTGGTAACTGGGCCTAGTCACAGTGCTATGTGGGATTGGGTTTAGGCCTTTTTTAGAGGTTTTTTCTTTTTCTGTTGAGGCTGTTTCTTTTTTTGCCTCCCTCTGTATATGCTGTGTATACTCTTCCTGCAATCAATACTTTTACCTTTTCAAAAAACAGAAAGAGCATATTACTTACCATCTGTTCAGCCATTTTCAACTCCCAAACCAACACACAATGAACAACTCACACAGTAAAATACATGTCAAAAAGAATGGAGGACACAATTTTCATGGTGTACATGCATAAACTCACTGAAGAAAGTAAAATATTAAGCTTTCCAAGTCTTCATATATCAATAGTTGATTAATATATCATTTAATAAAAAAGTGCATTTATATTACCACCACTGTGCAGATATCGTGTAAACGGCAGTAATTCAACATTTAGTAAATTATAATATTATGTTTATATTACACAGCCCCTATCATGTTGACACATTTTAGATAGTCATTAAATATAGCATTTTTGTAAAATGCATCGTAAACTATTGGAAAGTAAAAACWCACGGCACTATTATCTTCAACTACAGAAAAGAATATGGGTATTGAAAAGTGATACGAGAATGACTTGGTAAAGTAATAAATAGAAATATCAGGTGTGGTCATGTAGGACAACATAAGCAAAAAAAAATACAGTTTTAGCRTTTGAAATTAAAGTAATAGCACACAAATTTTGCAATAGGTTTTAGCCGGTTGACTCTTTTATGTTCTGAGCGTGTCCAATATCTTATCTTCATGAGCAGTATTTTAATTGGTAGCCAAACTAATCGAAGACTTTAACTGAGTTCACAAGATCTGATAAACAACTAAATGCGGCATTATTAGAATAATATGCACTTTTATTGAGGAAATCTTTCATAACCCGATACAACTGCCTGTGAGCTAGACAACCTCGCAAGTGATTTTTTCCAACTGTAATCTCATATATCAACCATTATCTCTGTTCAAATAATCTTTGTTAACTTGATTAGAGCAATAAGTGGTGTGGACCTGTAATCACAACTTTACATGACCAATTCATTAGCCTTTTGATAACATTGTACTTAATTACAAAAAATGATATAAAGAAATTATTATTAATAGTTGTAAACATTTGGAATAGAAACAAATTAAATTAGAGAATTTATCTTAGATAAGTTAAGATTAGAACCTGAAAAACTTGGTGCATGGCTTCGATTTGCTTCCTATACCAGGTGTAAAGGACTCCATTTCTGTTGCAGAACATTAATTACTTTTCCTCAGTTAAAATTCCAGTGAGTTATTAATCCGGGAACTCCATGAATATCCAATGATTGCATTAACATTATTTAGTAGTTAACATAATTAGAAAAAGTTACCCTTTTATAAAGATTAATAATATTTGATATTAAATTGAATCAAGACAGAATAACTATTATTCTCAAGCAGTAAATTAAAATTATTTCAGCTTTGCCTCGTACCATACAAACATATACAGATCTGAGAAGGTGAGAGACAAAGAAGAATGGTGCAATTTCTGATTCTTCATATTCTTCTTAGGTTAATTTTTAACAAATTTATATCCAAAAACTTCTTTTCTGAAGCTTGGAACCACGTATACACTTATGAAGAAGTTGGATTGGATCCTTGCTCACATATACTCGACGAACGAGAATCATTATTAATCTACGTTAAGGCTATGGTCCTAAGGTATCAAATAATTTAGCTAAAATAGGGGTACCATAAATATTCAAAATCTATATCTTCACCTACAATTGAACGTATGGAATTGCATTTCCCCTGGTTTAGGGTTCGTGCAATCAAACAAATAAAAAGGGGGAACCAACAGAATGCAAAAGTAAATATACATATGCACATATGATAATAACGATGATAGCAGTAAACACGTTGCAGTACTTTCTTAATGCATGAAAATACAGACACAATCAATTAGAAATGAACAAGTACTCCAAGTCACACCAACCCCACGTACAAGTTTCCCACAATACGAAACTCCAATGCTCTCATGCTTCATCCAATAGATAATAGAACTCTTTAAGACACAAGAATCTAACTTATCACCCAAAAAAAGAGATACAAGAATGAAGGATCTAAATGAAACCCTAAAGACACTAGAACATAAACTAATCAGAACAGAGTTTCAATGAGAACTTAACTCCCTCAAAAGAGAAGAAAAGGGATAAAAGGGCAAAGACTGAAAAAATAGCGTTAGACCACTTCATCAAACCCAAAAATTAAAAAAACATGAAAAGAAAAGAAAACCCAAAGATCAAAGAGTAACAAACATTACAAAGGGACTAAAAACCCTAGAAAAAACTGGGTAAATAGAGTGAATAATGAGAAACCACAGATACGAACCTTGCTTAGGACGCTTAATTCCTCCATTGCCATTAAAAGCCAGGTCACCCCTCCCTCTCTTGCGCGCAGCTCCAAAGTCCATGGCAATAAGTGCAGATCGAGATCGGAAAGAAACCGCTAGAACAAGGAAGCAAAAGAGAGTGATGGGAAGAAAAAAGAGAGATCGCCAAAAATCCTAAAAAAGCAAAAAAAAAAATCCTACGGAAAAGTGGATAGCTAGAGAAAGCAAAACCCTAGGGTTTGCAGCAGGGACAGAGCAAACGAAGGGCCGGGGTTTCTAGAAGAAACGATAGGGAAGGGAAGGATACGAAAACACGCAACAAGTTGGGAAGAGAGAGAAAGAAATAAATGCAGGGTGGGATTTCAAATTTAGGGTTTAAATGATTAATTGGATTTATTGGGTAATTGGATCCAATCATCCCAAACAGCCCGTGGTTGCTCAAGTCGTGGGTCATGGGCTTTTTATGTCACCGCCTCACTTGAGTATTCTCGAATCTTTGTACTGGGTCGAGGATAGCGGCCCATGGACCTGCATTTTGGGCCCTGATCACGTCAGAAGACTCAGAACTAAGCGATTCAAAAATCGCTTTTAACTGTTTGGTTGCCAATTTATGAAAAAATAGGTCGGGACCCTTGCGGTGCAATTCCTAAGTATTGTTCATGCCTCATGTTGCATATCTCAGTTGGGATGCTGGTTGATGTCCTTGCCCTTATTTATTTAGGTGATATCTTTGACCCTTATATAAGGTATTAGAAACCCCTCATTATTGGAGTACCCAACATCACACAAGTAATAATAATAACCTAAACAAATATGACAATACATATTAGTTTATCAAATATTAATATTAGCCCTTTGATCTTGTTATCCTAATTCTCAGGGTTTATTATCTACCTTGTAGTACTTTTAAGTCATTTCTCCTTGAAATGGCAACACAAAGGACTACAAGGTATATATGTAAATGAATTCCATATATGGGGAGCAAACACCTAATGCATTTGTTGCAATTTCGTTCTTTCTTGTTAAATATCTATGCTTATCCTTTTCAGACACTCGGGCCCTAATATATGTTCTATCAAGAGCCCTTAGACAATTCTATAAAACAAAACAAGAGAGATAAAATTTAAAATTTCAACCTTAAAGGTTTGTTATTTGTAATGAGTAGGAAAGAATAAATAAAAAATGGTCACACCTTGGACCACTTCCATTTCTCATCGTTTGAGTTTGCAAGCACAAATTCATGTTTTTTAAGTAGGATTTCATGTAGGCGTAACATTGCATTCAACACCATGTTGAGGTACTTGCTTATGGTGGACCCAAACCTCCTAAAGTTCTATTATTGCTCCCTATTCTTGACATCATGTGATAAAATATTTAGGAAGCATGCAACCATTTCTTCCACCCCTACATGTTTACTACATCTTTCTTACATTACTTAATAATTCACATAACCTCAAATAACTAGTCTTATCCATTCATATATGATTTATACATGACTAATTCGATTCCATGACTATAGTCTTAAGGTTTGAAAGCCTATTCATAAGCCTTTCCTCTCATGACTCTTTCTCAATCCCCTCTTCGTCATAACTACGCAATACCCTGGAGACCATCATCCTTTTCCTCCTCATTGCAATCGTAATAGCAACCAAATTACAYAAGTGTGTTGCATCATCATTTCATAATAAATGGAAGGGTAAATTTCTTAAACTACCCCAAAGGTTTAGGAAATTAACTAACTCTACCCCTACTGTTTCAATATTATCTTAAAGTACCCCTACTGCTTCTGACAATTATCACAATCATTAAATCATAATGGAGACGCATGAAAAGTCATTTTTACCTTTACATTRAGAAAGGGCGCCAAATAGTAAATTACTATAATTAACATAACAGGCGTCTTTTGGATCTTCCAATCAAGAACGACAACCGACCTCTGCCATCTGTCATTTGTCGTCACTGGAGAGATCGCCGGTGAGTGTTATATTCCAATGAGATTGGGATAAAACAAGAGAGGGTAAGAGAAACCCAGTAGGCTGAGCAAGGCGAGATCGTCGGTGATCATAAATGACAACGATAAGCTGAGCAAGGAGGAGATGACAAAATGCTTAAGGATGCAAAAAGATGCAAGGCAGAGCAAGGAGGAGATTACATTCCGTTCAATTTTTTTCTAAGCACACCATTAACGACAACCAAAAATACCCAAAAACCTATAAATCAAATCAACCCTCTATCTCTCTCTCTATGTTCTTCTGTGTTTCAGGTTGACATAGAAGATCTTCTATGCCGATTGGTCAAATCGACAAAGACAAGAACAAGTTATATACTAAGAATATAAATCAATAAAAAGTCCTCCCACAAAGATGAAAGATGAAACGCCAAACAAGTTCTAAACATAAAAGATCCATACTTCATGGATCGACGTGATGATACAGGACGGAACACACCTACTATACATAAATCTAATCAAACACATCGCTTGCTATTATAATCGATGACCAGAACTCTTTCATAGGCAATGAGGAGAACTCACGGAACACACCTACTATACATAAATCGATGACCACTCAAATTAGACATGCAATAAGCTACTAGAATAAAAACTGCTTAAGATGGAAAGAAATGCAGAATTGTTGAATGGTTCACTCTATGAAATTTGCTCTCAAATTTCCTACTTCACTTGTGTTCTTATTGGTAACCAATCATGGATAAATCAAATGGCCACTACCCACCTAGAAATGCCATATAACACACAACATAAAAGTGGAATAGRAGGGCATAAAATGCTAGTTCAGCCCATTGGTGCCCCATTGATCCAAAGCAAAAACAAATTATAAGGTCTAGACTCTAGCAAGTTTGTTTTCTAAATTGAACAAAACCAATTCATCATTTGAATTCTTGTTAACAAAAATTAATAAGTAATAAACAAAAAAAAAAATCGCTTTGTGTTTCATTAATTTTATTATCCGGAGGAATTAATGGTAACACCAAACCAAGCTCTACTGTAGTGATTTGTTTCCTGGACCTTGACATCTCAAGTTTGGAGATGTTCACCGCATGAAACCAAATTTTCCTTGATGRGTTGTAAGCAACACTTCAAGCAAAGCGTGCATAAATAAATAAAAAGAATAAATACATATTGATAAATAAATAATATACAGAGATTTATTATTCTTTAATTTTATTATACAGAGATTTATAATATACAAATCAATTATTTTTTTTGAAGTCATAAACAGACCTAGCCATCTTTATTACATATACAATATAAACTTCTTTCCCACATAAACCATACTGATTTTTATAGGTTTCAAAATGGTAGACATATTGTTGGGAAAATTCCTATAAAAGCATATCTAAGGTCAAGAAGGTTTGATATTGACCCTCGTTGGAAATTTTGCAGACGAAAATGAAGTTGCATGGCATCTTTTTGTAAAATGTAAACTACAAATTGGGAACATAAATTTGGCTATTGGTAATGCATGAAATATGGAAATAATAACGATGATCAATAGTAAAAATAACGGTTCCCTCTAAAAAGTAGTAAAAAATGGAAAAAAGTAAGAAAATATTAAAATAAAAAGAATGTTCTACAAAAACAAAGTTCTCATTTAATTTTGGGCAAATTTGTTAAACTACTTTTTTGGTTTAGTTAATTGACCAACTCTATTCTTACTATTTATATTCTGTCTTAAAATATCCCAAGTTTTCTGACAATTGACTAATTACTTCCCTGCCGTTAGGGTTCCGTCACAATCCGCTCACATGCTACACCAAGTGATTGTTATATTTTGAGAAAATAACAATAATGCCCTTTTCATTACTGGTATTGATTTATCGTTGAAAACTTTTCCAGTGCTGAGGTGTTTTCAATAGCTCTCTCTCTCTCTCTCTCTCTCTCTCCTCTCCCATTTCGGTGAAGTTTTGGAATCCAATAGGAGCTTGTCACTATGTAACGTACATTTCTGGAAATAAAAAAAGAAGACAATACCTTTTTTCTTACTACGTTTTTCTTTAAGGCCCTGTTCGCTTTTCGGTAAGTTACTTACTCGGGTAAATGTAATTACTTGGGTAAGTGGGGYAAGTTTTTCCTAAGAAACACTTACCCGAGAAAGTGCATTTACCCATGTTCTTTTATTTCTCAAATAAATAAAGTAATGACCATTTTAGTCATAAAAATACATTATTAAAAGGGACATTTTTGTCCTATTCAAGTGTTGTCAACTTTCCTCTTAGGTGGGAAAGTTATTTACCCACCTAGGAGATGGGTACCACTTACACTTTTCCTGATCCCCACATTAATATGAAAAATGAATATGAAATTCTTGGTCAATGAAAATCAAAATCCCATGGATCAACTTTCTTCCATCTCAAAATCCAAAAAGAGAACAACCCCTAATATTCTTTTTCCTCTGTACAGAAGGATCTCGAGACGCAGAGTCCGACAAAGGGAGGATGACAACACCAAAGAAGAGAGTACAGACTATGGAGAGAAAAGAGCAAAATAAATAGAAAGGGCGACGTCTGAACTCTGAACTAGAGTTTTCACAGATTTTCGAGTGCGTGTGAGATGGAAAGTTCCATTAAAGGTCCACTACTTAGAAGTCAGAAGATAAAACACAAGAAATTTCTTCGTCCTATAAGAGATTACTGACAACTCTCCCCCAAAGTATTTTGCTCCAACCTAATTTAGCAGAATTTTAGCTAAGAAGAAATCAAGGAAAATTTTTCTTTGATCTCTAGCTGAGAGTCTTCAAAGGTGGATGATGCTTCGACTTAAGGAAATAAGAGGTAATTGCATGGTTTTTAAAAACGAACCAGTGATCGAATCGGTCAGGGGTTCGGTTATCAGTTTGAAYGGTCTGACCATTCAATCCGAACGGTCGGCCCATTCTGGCAAAAAATAAAAAATTTAAAAATTTGAAAAACAGTCAAAACCGTTCAAACGGTTAATCGGTAAGTTCAGCGGTTTACTGACCAAAATCAATGGTTTTGGGGGAAAAAACGGTTTTAAAGGAAAACAAAACCGATCAAGTGATTGATTCTCAGTTTTCCAGTCCGACCGTCCAGTCCGATCCCGTTTTGAAAACAGTGGGTAATTTCAATTACTATAACGCCTGTTCATTTCTCTCAATGATTTCTTCTTTGGTGTAAACAGTTGTAATGGCGCTTACTGTAAATCAATTGACAGGAAATACAAGACAAGTATGGCAAGATTTGGTGGATGACGACCATATCACACCCATTGCAGGGGATGATCTTATCCTAAGTCTCTATTATTCCCTTTTGTATTCCTTCGATCTCAATTTAGATGTTACTAATTCTAAATTACACTACTTAATTGCGTTTCTTGTTTTATTATTCCCTTTTAATGCTTACTGAAAATTAGAGCATTAAAAGAAAATTAGAGCATATAAAAAATGGAGACAACAGGGACACAGACGAAGACAGAGGCGGGGGCAAATATGGAAAATGGAAAATGGAAAATGAAAAATGGAGATGGAGGAGACGGGTACAAAAATAGAGACGGATACGGAGGCCGAGGCAGAGCAACGATCTGCTTCCTGTCTTTCTGAAAATTTTCATTGATTGGGTTTTATTTTGAAAATTTGAAAAACAGTARAGGAAAAATTCAACATTTTATTTTTTCCATTAGCATTTAACAACAGAGTAGGGGTACTTTAAAATAATATGTAAATAGTAAGGGTGGAGTTAGTCAATGGAAAGCAAGATTTTAAAAACCAACCTGGAAACGAAACCACTTTGACCACTAGTTTTTGGTCAGTGGTTCGATCATCTAGGTCAAACGGTTCAAAAGTTTTAACAAGATAAAATCATCTCATCTTACCCATTGAATTGGAATATTAGGGTAAAATGGATATAAATATCATGAGAACAGGGCTTGGAATGAGAGTGAGAAAAGGCATTGTCGTTTAAGAGAACTTAGAAAAGAAAGAAAGTAGAGCTTTGGATCGTCGGGTCAGGTTTATCCCATTTTAATTGATTTTCCTATATTTTCTCAGTCAATTTATTAATTCATTAGTAACTAAACTTCATTAATTAAACAATATATAATTTCTTAGTAATGAAACCATAATTGCTTAGATATTTTCATTAAACAATAAWTTAATCAACTTTTGAAAATTAATTTCAAATTTAGTAATTTAAGAAAATTAATTTCAATTTCAGTAATTTTGATATTTTTAGTAATAATTAGTTTTTGATATATTTAGAAATTTTATAAAACCAAGTTAAATTTCATTAAGTTTGAAAAAAAAAATCATTTCAATTAATATCGCACTTAAGCATTAATTTTCAAAAGTTTTTAAATAAATTTATTGATATCTGTAATTATTGAAAATATCAATAATTAATGAAAAAGATTAATAATTACTGATATTTACTGAAAATTTTCAATAATTACTAAAAAACAATTAGATGTGATTTACTAGAAAAAAATTACTAATAAATAATTACTAAAAATTAATTATTAAAAATGTAATTTCATTAGGATGTTCAAAACATTCTATTAAAAACTAGAAAGTGATCCGGCACAGCCCACATTTTGGTGCTGCTTGCATTGTAGTAGGTTGGGGTGCCGCCTGCATTGTGATTGTAACAACCATTTGGAAAAAAAAAATCATCTTAAAATTTTATTCCATATGAACAATCAATAACTACAATAAAAATATAAAATGATTAAATGAAATTAAAAATTTATTATAATAAAATGATTAAATAATGTATTGGGATTTGGGCCATGTCGCAAACCATGCTGGCACGGCCGCAAGGGTAGAAAAAACCATCGGTCTAGCCTAGCCCCAAGGGTTGTACCATACCTGGCACGACCCTTCACTATAGTTGGTGGGTTGTGCTAGGCATGGCCTGTGGGCGGCCCAATCTGTTTTTACACCTCTAATGGTTGTATTTTTGGGAAAAGTACGGATAGGCCTGATTCAGATTTCTAAATCCCAATCCAGTCCTAACAGATTTCAAAAGTCCAAATTACTTGAAACATTTGATGGATAGATTCCCACACTATGTATGGCAATTTGTCTATATTGATGACTTGGAAGAGAATATGGTTTTCCATGTCATTTTTTCTTATTTTTTTGTAAAATTCAAAAATACTCTTCAATTGTAAAAGACCTAAATAGCCTCCCTTAACATTTTCTAGCTTAGGGCTCCTTTGAATTTGTCGAGGGTCTTGAATTTCATCAAGACTGCAACGGAAGGAATGAAAGCCAAAGTTCCTCTCTCTCTCTCTGGATCACCATTAGACCTGATCCGAGTTATATACATAATATATAATCTATAATATTTAATACTTAATAAATATTAAACATATATATTTATTATAATCAGGTCCATTGGGTCAGATCCGATTGTATTGAGAATCGATCGGTTCGGTTCTGGGACCCTATTGGGTCTGGGGTAGCTTCCAGGTCCTTAGTATTTCATGTCAAGTCAGTTCTGGTTCTAACTGGTTCCAACCCGTTGACAACCCTAAATTATACATCAAATTATTGATATAATACATGTTTATACACATATATGTATATATAATATGCTGATGTGTCACAATCTTACCTGTTCAATCCAAATGACTGAATTGGTGATCCACGACATAGAGACAAAAACCATTAAACCTTTGGGTTGGTTTTTAACATTGGGTAATATTTTTATATATAATATCATAAAAAGGCACATATAACATATATATAATATTTATATTTATATAAATTATAACATATTTTATGTCATATAATATAAAATAAGATAAATTTATGATGATAGAAAAGTATGATATTGGAAGAGCTTTAACCAATCAAAACCATGTGAATTTTGATGAATACTACTTATTTATTACTACTTTTATGATATCAGTTGATTGGTAACCAATCAGGTTGTATTCATGAAAATTCAAAAGGAGGAGGGGGTTAATGATCAAAGGTCTTTTGGTATTAATTAAAGGAAAAACAATATATTAATTAAAGGAAAATCAATACTATAAAGACATGGTACCAGAAGAGTTTTGCAATCAAAGCACCCCGTGAATTTGGATGAATAATTGTTCATGAGCTTTTCCAATGTTTTGTCTGTATGGTATCATAGTCAAACTTATTAATTAATAATATGATGTATATATTGCTACATAGGCCATGAGCCAGGTCTGGCCCAGCCCATAATCACCCCCTAATTTGAACAGTCTCATATTTGCACCACCTATACCTTTAATTGCTCAAACCCAATTGGGGCTTGGATTGCAACCCCCATCAACCAGATTTTGAAACCCCCTAGTTGAACAGACATTGCCCCTAATTTGTAGATCTTATAATTCTGGAGCCTCTTTCGCCCATATAACAGACATGGCACAAGCCTTCCCTGATCTCCTAAACTACGTAGTTTTAGCCTATGTTTGGTTTGAAGGAAAAGGTAAGAAAACTTATACAAGGTTTGTGAACTACCTTTCCCTACTTTTTCCTTCAAACCAAACACAGCTTTAAAGACTTTATATAGATGGATAAAAGTTGCAAAAGAACAGATATAAATAATCTGGGCTTCTCATGTTTAATATCAACTAAAATTTTGGGAATACAACCCATCTTAATTAAATCTTAAAAGTCAGAAAAGCAAGAAAAGGAAAACTTAGATCAATTCACCTAGCAAACCCCATCTCAAACCCTAAAAAGTATCAAAAGAAAGCCTACTAACTAGAACCCATCTCTCAGTTTTGAATCAACCTTTCTCACTGTATGAAATCCTGCATTAAAATGGAAGCAACCATCCCTTGCAGCTTTCTCCTTAGGGTCATGCTTCTCTATCCCTTTGATACTGATCAGAAATGAAATGACTGTCCATCTACACTACATAATTCATCATCTGAACTACTAATTTGGATTGTTAATTCCTGATGAAAGAACTCCACGCTCTAATACCATGCTTATAGACAGTCATTTCCCTAGATTTTCAGTCTTAACTAGACTTGTCTAACTGCATTATCTGATGCTTGGCCTTCCGCCATCTCAGTGCCTTGCGCATGGCACTCAAGATTAATGCACTTGTACCACTTAGCACAGAACAAGTAGACACCGAAATCAATGGCCGTCAGCCCGGCAAGGAGGAAGTAGAACCTGTCCATATGACCGGAGTTGAGGTCTCCGGGGATCCATCCCGGCTTGTTATTCTTGGCTGTAATCCCCATCACCATGTGAACCAGCAAGCTACTGACATAGTTTCCTAATGAGATTGAAGCCATGCAAAGCGAGCTCCCGAAGCTCTTGATTCCGTCCGGTGCTTGCCCGTTGAAGAATTCCAACTGCCCCACGTACATGAACACCTCCGACGCTCCCACCAGAGTGTACTGTGGAATCTGCCAGAATATGCTCAGTGAGCTAATCTCATTTCCGGGAGTAACCTTTTCGAGTCTTTGTAGCTCTGTGATTCCGGCAGCCACCATAGCTAGCATTCCGATTACCAGCCCTACACCCATTCGTTGAAGCTCCGAGAGACCCTTTGGGTTCCCGGTTAGTCTACCGACGACCGGCACGAGGATTTGACGGTAAATGCCGGTGAAGACTAGAACGCTGCAGATGTCAAAAGCAGACATGCTTGCAGCGGGAAGGTGGAAGTTGCCAGCGTCGGAGTTCATGACGGCTCCTTGCTCAACGAAGAGTGAAGCCATCTGGGTGAAGACGACAGAGTAGATGATGGTGCAGAGCCATATGGGCAGCATCTTCAGGACACATTTGGCCTCTTCTACCTGCGTCACCGTGCAGAGCCTCCAGGGGTCCATTGGTCCATGTAGGTCACTCTCAGTCATGGTGGCTGCCTTGTCCAAGAACCTGAACATATTCAAAGAACACAAATGAAGGTGGTTGCAGTAATGAAATGGAGGAAATGGGCCACATCCAATTAGGTAAACATGTGATAACAATGCTTCAACTATACGTACTAAGTACTAACCTACCCAGATAAAACTGATCAACAAGCCAAAAGAGAGTGCAAATGATGAGTTGAGAGCAAAAATAAACCAGAATTTACTGCAAAAAAAAGGAGTCGACATACAGAATATTTGTGTCAATTGCTATCTTACCCAAATTCATCACTGTGCAGAATTTTTCTGCTCCCTTTAATTGCAGATTCTGGACCTTCCAACTCATACAATTTCTCGGCATCTTTAGGAGCAGTTACCTTCCATTTCCTGAAAGCTGCATTAAATACCTGAGCAACACGGGGCAATGGGTTGCCACATGGCTTGAAGTGCCTATATCTCGGCGTTCCCACCAAGAAGAGGATGAGAGCTATAACTGCAGAAGCTGTGGAGGTCAAGAACCCCAGAGTCCATTTGCCGGAATCTTCAAAGTAGACCAGAATGGTGTTGGAGAAGAGAGAGCCAACATTCAATGCGAAGTAAAAATAGCAGAAAAAAGCTGGCTTCGAAGGCTCATCAACCTGGTCGGATCCCAATGTGGCTATGGTTGGTTGGTGCCCGCCGTATCCAAAGGCAACGAGGTAAATTGACAGGTAAAAGATGGCGATGCCAACTGAAGATGCTGGCCTACAGTCAATTACTCCATTTCCACAGCCCTCCGGCTTGATCAGAAACAGCCAAGATGACAGTGATAGCAATACCAGACCCTATTCAACAAGGAAAAAAAAATCCATCATTTCTGATTTCTGGGTTTGGGTAAATGATTCTGATAAATGAAATAGAAATACCCAGGAAGATTTCATTAATATTTCAGTAATCAGAAGAGAAAAAGAAATTTGGGTACCAGCACAAARACTAACTGAAAGATTGCACAGGTTAAGTATCGGCCCCAGTATGAATCGCTGAGGAATGCACCGATCAGTGAACACATGTAAACCGTCCCAGTCCACTTGCTAACGYTGTTTGCAGCATCAGCATTCTCTTGCTCAAGAACCCTAGTCAAGAACAGGACCAAGTTCACACCCGCACCAAAGAAAGCAAGCGTGGCTAGACCCTGATTTGCTGCAGCATTCACCCATTTGAACAAATTAAAAGATTACAATCTGAAAAGTAGAACTACTGTAATATACATAGAAACTAATCTGGTAATTACCCAGCAAGAGAAATGCAGGCTTCCACCCTCCTGAGTTCCCTCTGATTACACTGTTCTGTCTCCCGTTAATGGAGCTCTCTCTTGTAGAAGAAACCTCTACATGTTCATTCTCAGTTGAGTCTCTGTTCAATTCTTCTCCATGTCCACTTTCTACCACCTGCTTTATTTAATATAGGAATAATAATAAATGATTGAAACTGAAACAGAAAACTAAGAAGAATTCTGAAGCAACAGACTTGAACAAAATGGTTGAAGGGCACTCCATTTTGTTGCTATGTTGGCAATCTAGCTGGGCCATAGACCAGGTCCTTGCTTGCCACGTAGACCCATGCTTACGTGGCATCCCCTGAAAGCTGAGGTGGAACCATCTCATACAGCTCAGCTGGATCACAATCCACAAATTAATCCAAGAACTCACCGAAGTTCCAACGTTCAGCACAACATCTTTGTTGCCGAGTTCCGAAGCCTCCATGGTTTACTTCTTTGGAAAACACAGACAGGAGAATATCTGTTAAAATTTATTGAAAAAAATGTGAAGAAAATAATTTAAAGGACTGCATATTCATTCTTGAAAGGCTTCACTGTAAACATGGAATGATGCTCTTCCTCTGTTCAAGCTTAACGTACTGATTCATTCTGGGACGTTTAGGTGGCAAATGAAAAGGACTAGAAGACTAAAGCTCAGAAACAAATTTCAGATGCAACCCAACAAAATTGGAGCACTATTACTGAGAAACCAAACTGTTCGTTGACAGAACTCTACTTAAAACAAACAAACAAACAAACCAGAACGATAACATAAACAGAACGAGAATTAAAGGACTAAACAAGTATCCTGAAAATACCTGAGCAAGTGAAGAGACGTTACAGACAGAGAGAGAAGTGAATAGAGAAGTGAGGAGAGAAGAGTGTGAGAAAGGTAAATATATAGGGAAGCAAAGAGACGAAAAGGGTCGTTTTCAGGATTTTAATTTTTGTTTAGACAAAAGTGGTGGATGGCAGAGAAGGAGAGACTGTGGTTTGGAACAGTATCTACCACGAACTGGTTGCTTCTTCTATTGATTCTCTCGGGTTAGTGGCGGGTATGCGATTGAACGCTCTTGTGGAAAGCGATATGTTTTCCTGCTTGAATCATTTTTGGATTTATATATTTCTGTAAACTTTATTTTCCTCTGTTATCCCCTGTTTTCTTTGTAATTCTAGTAATCATGTCTTTTTGCACAAAAAGAACAGAGTAAAAGTTATTCCAGAAAATCCAAAACTTGCTTTTACCTACTCTCTTCATGTAAAGTAACAGAGAGAGAGAGATCCACTTCTAATGTCACCATCTACCAAATAAAAGATACTAGAATATGCTACTCCATGGCTGATGATTTATGGGTAAGAATCCAAACTATTCTCAAGATGACAAGAATCAACCGACGAGTTTATAGCATTCTCCTTGTCCTTTCTTCTGAAAATATATTAACAGAACTACAGAAGTTATCCAGATTTCACACACACACACAAAAAGGAAAGTTTCACCAAGAAGACATTGCATGTTTGAATCTAAATCTAATTTTGGGAATGCTAATTGGAATAAACACTTAGGCCCCGTTTGGTTCGCGGGAATAGGGGTTTGGAATTGGTTGGTTAGGCGGAATCGGAATCTCATTCCCATTTCTGCTAGAATATTTGAGGGAATGGCCATTCTCTGCTCCTTTCTTGGGAATAAAATCCCATTCCTACTGATTTTAATTCCCATTCACATTCCTGCCTGAACCAAATAGATTATGGAAATGGACCATTCCGATTCTGATTACGAAGATTTTGATTCTGATGCAAACCAAATGAACCCTTAATTTGGGCCATGACCATATCAATAAGTGCTTATTTGCGGATTTGCCTTTAGAAAATAAGTCCAAAAAATAAACAATTAAAAATAAATCCAATTCTTTTGTTCTAATTTTTAATTTCTTATTTCCTTTTTGACTTGCCACATCATTTTAAAAAAATGCCTATACCACCGTGTTTGAAATAAGTGTTTTTTTCACCAAACACCCATACCAGTATCAGAATCTTTGATTTGTTGTCATGAGCCCCACCTTGAATCAGATGAAATGACTTATTGTTAGGTACACTGCATTAGATCCAAGGCCATGATTTTTTTTAGTCGTACTTATTTTTAAACACTTTTTTTAATAAACAGTTATTTTTCAAATAAGCACTTCCAAACATGGGCTAACCATTTCTATGAGCTTTTCCCCTGGGCAGTAAATACGATGAGAGTTTTACAGGTTAAAGGGTAKWTTACCAGAATTGTTAATTAACTAAGCAATCAAGATGATTAGTGGATTGGATAAAACATGTGGATGAGATAGTGAACCGTTTATAGGAAAAGGGATTCATCGGAGGGGTTGCCATCACCAACCCCACCTCATTTATTGACTTCTCGCCACTGCCCAAAACTTCTCAAAAGTTCTGGGGACATCTCAGTCCCTCAAACCAGGAAGAAAGCATCAGAACAAGATCCTATAACAAGTTAGAAAAAGCGAGAAGTAAACAGTCAAAGATAGAGAAGCGGCGGCCTACCCTTCTTACGATACTTGGTAACTGACAAGGTGGTGTGTTCCCAGTTTCTGCCGGACTCCGGCGAGGGTGATGAACGGATGTCGAGGAACAGACGTGGCCACGCCGGAGAGCCAAATGAACCGGTGAAACCTTTTGACATTTATGAGTGAATGTGGGTCAAATTTCACCGGCAAAAGACCACACTCTACTCTTTCAAAGATCAGCGATTTGCTTCTCTTTAATCTCTTGTTTCTCTTCTTTTCTCTCTAATGAAGGTTAACTGGGGAGGAGAGAGGGAGAGAGAGACTGTTTGATCGATCAGTTCCAGGTGATTTTCTTTTGACGATTTGTGTGACGAACTCTCCTGTTCGAACTTAAAAACTGGGTCTCCCATTCAACTAACTGTGAACTGTGAATCAGAACGAATCGGTTAATCTATATTTTATAGGCGAAATACCGGGTGGAAGTTTAGACCGAGTTTGGCTGTTCGTTTCGAGGGGTTCCGTTTGGAATGCTCCCTCATTTCCATTGCGTCGCGTGACACGGAGTCACGGACCAAACTTTACCACAACGTGGCAAACAGATCCCACGGCCAGAAACTAACGTTTGGATGGACGTGCCTATCTAGGCTATCTAGTTACAACTAGACCTGTTCATGGGCCGGGTAGCCCGACGGCCCGGCCCGCACCCTGGCCGGGCTTGGTCATATAATTAGGCCCGCGGGTCTGACCTCGGGCTTAACACAGTAAGCCCGACTGTATTTCGGGCCGGGCTCGGGATTTGTCAAAAAAGCCCGGCCCGAGCCCGGCCCGGCCCAACTCAGTATTATATATTTTATAAAATATATAATATGTATTTTATATATTATATAAAATATATAAATAATATAATATTTATTAAAATATATATTTATAATTTAATATATATATATATATTATTCTTTTCTTTATAATTTCAATCTATCTCTCTTTATTCAGCTGCTTCAACATTAATAATAATAATAATATAGGCTAAATTTCGGACCCGGGCCCAGGCTCGGGCTTCGGGCTTTTTATGAGGGCCGGGCTCGGGCCCAATGGTCGGGCCGGGCTCAGACTCAAGCCTTAAAAAAATTTGTTAATACACAGTAAAAGCCCAGCCCGAGCCCGGCCCGGCCCGGCCCATGAACAGGTCTAGTTACAACAGAATAAAATAACAGATCGGGTCGAACAATATTGGATGTATTTGGTCCAAATTTGATATCTCATTCGGATCAAACTGAAAATGATCAAAATATTGCGTAATTATAAGCAAAATGCTTTTATTTTTTTGGAAACTATAAACAAAATGAACTTTGGTTTCGTCTCTCATGCATAATATGACTTTGAAAATAAATTCTAACAAAACATCGAACTATTATTTTACTGAAAATATAACATTCAATATATCAAACCTTGTTAACTACATGTGATCAGTTACATGAATCTCATTCACTTCACCATTTTCTTTTAGGGTTTTGATTGGTCAAAACTTTTTCCATACCATATCTTTCCTGCATCATAGATTTTCCCTTTCTTCTATTAAGTAATGCTTTAAGACTTGGATCAGAGTAAAACTGAAATGCTCTCTAGGTCCCGGTTTTACTTCTTAATTGAGCAGTTTGCCCATTAAACCTTCTAAAACCATCATTTAATTGGGACCCAAAAAAAGCCACTGGTCTCGGTTTTCACAATCCTACAATATGGTCCAGGCCAAGTCTTAAAACATTACAATTTTAAGGATTAAAATATCGATAAGATACACATATATCCATATTGATGTATCAAAGACTTTTTATTAGTAAGATTTGACTTTTCAAAGATGTGGATCCCAATCTTTTGTTCATTATAAATAAAAAATAAAAATTTAAAAAAATGTCAGTATTTAGTGAGGTACGTTTTGGTATTGAGTATATTTATATTTTAATCAATATTGGTGCATATCAACATGATTAAATCGGTTACCCAAAGCTGGGTATTGGTGCATATGGACATGATTAATACTCTCTTCTTTTTTTTTTTACTTTTTTTTTATTTTATAATTGTTAGGGGGTTAGGAAAGAGACCTCCAAACTTTTAAGTACTTTAAAACACTTTTGTATAAGTGTATCCACGTGTATTAGGACACACCGATACAAATATGATACACTAAGGGGTATTATCATATCGATATTTTAATCTTTGATTCAATTTATTATCTATAAAATAAATAAAAAGCAAAAAAAAATATTTAATTATGGATGTAGATTCTAAAATCTAAATATATAAATTAAATAAATAATAAATAATTGAATTAGATAAACAGTTAGACACCACCGGTAGACCTAAATGAACATATAGAAAACATACTATTTACAACTCCAATGGTCCTAGTTCCTTTGCCTAGACTCCATGATTATGCGGTTTCGAGTCCCACTATTGCCACCTACCTTTGAAAATTAATAGTGTGTTGTGTCAAATGAAAAAAAAAAAAAAACTTAAGACTTGCATAAATCACTTTTCTGGCTACATGAAAATTTGTTAATATATGATGTGACAATATTGCCCCTTCATTTATRACACTTTTACAAATAAACCAATCATTGTACAATATTATATAAGAAACAAAAAAGCATTGTTAAAGCATTTATCCGGGCAAGTATTTCCTATAAAACATTTGCTCAAATAAATGTAGCCAAATAAATGCTTTACCATTTAACAAACAAGTCCTAATTCCTAACGGCCAAATAAATGCTTTACTGTTATAATGGTTGAATATTGTATTTGATGCTATCAAAACTCAGTTCAAGCACTTTTAAACATTAATTTAAAAGCCCATTAGGCTACTGTTATAGCCCTATCACTGCATCTAACATTCCTAGGCATTTAGGTCTTATTAGTTGCTTTGATTTTTGGGGATATGTTATTTCCGTCTTGTGTAGCCTCTCTTCATTTGTTTTATAAAAAAATTGCTCTCCCTTTATCAAATTAAGACATGGTACATTGGTTTGATGAAATTTTAATGCATCTGACCTCTTTCCCACTTGAACCATTGACTAAATATACGAGGCACTTTTTGTAAAAGTAAATTTCTAATCAACAACTCCTTTTTTTTCATGGTGATAATCTTATTATGCTTTCTATTAGTATAATTATTTTGATCATGAATCAGGATTTGCTTCTCACAGAGTGCATCTCACATCAACTTCACATCCCAATCCCATCATGTACTGGGAACATCTCCTTATGAATAACACAAAGTACGGGAGATGTTCCTGATGTATGGCTCGGAGGCATTGTAAAGTTGGTGTGAGAAGCGATTTATGAGGAGCAACTTGGGTCTCGGTGATGAGTACAATTATGTTGGTGACCTAATGGTTGAGATGTCACTTGATGTCCCTCTGAAGGCACATGATCAAATCATCAAATTCACATAACTGCAAGCTCTCTATGTTAAGCTAAATGGACCTCACATGTCTCAACCCCCTAATCCTATGTAGAGAGTAGTATCTAATAAATGAACCAACCAATAAATGGGTCCCAATTAACACATTTTCCTTTTATAAGGGTCTAAATGGATATGTTTTCTTTGGTATTGAGGCCATTTGAGAGGGCTTCTATGTTGGAGGAAAGGTGTGGTGATTTAGCCATGGCGACTGAGCACCTGTATTCCAAAGAAGGTACCTGGAGTAGCTTCCCATTTCGGCCATACCATCCGAAACACAATGATTGACTTTTTGGATTTTCACCAAATACAATGGCATTCCCAATGTGGGGCCCAAATTAGAATGCCAGAAGCCACATTATGAAAACTAGAGGTGTAAATCGGGTCATGTCGCCTGCAATCTAGCATGATTTTGAGCCAGCTCAGCACAATGGTTCACGGGCCGTGCTAGGCTTGGGGTTTCAGGTCCGTGGGTCGGGCTGGCATGGCGGGTCGTGCCACACACGACCTATATATATATTATTAATATATATATATAATATTTATATATTTATATATATTATATAATAATATATAGTATATAATATATTAATATAATATACAATTGTTTTCAATCTTATTATACTATTTTATTTAATTTTTGTATATATAAACAATTGTATACATCAAAATTCATATAAAATAATAGTTTTAAGATTTTTTTTTCAATTTTTTTTAAATAAATAGTTTTGGCCAAGTCCATGGCCTGACTTGGCCTAAGGCTCGACCCACGGACCATCCCGGCCAATGGCATGGCATAGCATAGCACGAGCGTGCGGGTCGTGCCATGCTGGCCCAGTACGACCTGTTTTATAGCTCTACTGAAAACCCTCCCAAATGGGCATCAAGTCCTAACAAAAATAATAGTTATCATCATAATAGAAAAGAAGATATTACAATGAGTATAGTTCGAAAGGGACTTAAAACTCGTGATAAAAAGTCCATTAGACCACAATATTCCATCGGAAATCAAATTAATTAAAGAAACATGTAAAAAGACCAATTCCATTACTCATCACCAACTCTTACAAAATGGCACCAACTTAGTGCATCGCCGGTAATGGTACTGTCAGCACCACTGCTAACATATATCTTTTCATCCTTCTACTCTACTCTTATTAAATGCAAGATCTTTATTTTAAGTTTAATTTTGTTTGGTTCTAATCAGTTCCTCTTTTAGTTAGGCTCTTAGTTTCTTGCTGAGTATACTTAAGGAAAGTTTGGCTAGGGAGGGTTTGTAACCAGCTCTTGTGCTAGTTGGTGGTTTAGTTTAGAGGTCTTGTCATCAAGTCGTTTTGTTGTCTAGGTGGAGAGAGGCGATGGAGTTCTCATTTGCGGTTGAGGTTCTCTTGCCACCTGGTACTTGTGTTCTCGCTTCTCCTTACTCTAGGTTTTGCTTTTCCATCTTCTTCATTTCTAGTTTACTTCCTTCCCCACTTGTCATTTTTTCTCCCCTTGCTTTCTTTGTCTTCATTAGCATTGACCTTAACACTTTGAATGAGACCTTCCAAAACATTCTACATGGCAAATAGCCAACGGGAATAGAGGTAGTGAATATTCAAAACCATATTCCTCTAAACCTACATGAACATTGATAATTCTCCTTCATTTGTTACAACATCTGATGGACCAATTCTCTGACCTAAAATAAGGCTTGTATTATCTTTGGAATCTTAGTCCCAACATGTTACTTATAGCCCCATTCCCGAGAGGCCACTTTCATCTTAGGTTCCATTACGAAGAGGATTTCATTTGTATAAGAGACAATGGTCCTTGGCAATTGAATGGCCAATGGATTATCCTTAGACCCTACAAACCAAGAAGACCCTGGTATGAGTGGAACCTCCATGAAATTGAAATATGAGTTCAATTGCACAATTTGCCTTTTGAAATCCT